ATTTCACAGCCAACTCATGGTTCCATTGAACTTCAGCCTGCCCCTGAAGCTTGCCAGCCTACCCAGGTGGTCAAGCTTTAGGAGGTCCTGGCTTCCATGGTACAAGAGCCAAGACAGACATTATGGCCCACTTGGGATCTCATTGAAGCTTACCATGTTCTACTCATCCCTGGTTGTCCACAAATGAGGATTGATCGATCTAGGTCCAAACACTGAATATTGGACCCAGCATACTGCGCAGGTACCAGTCCCCTTCACTCCCCTTTACTCTACCATCATCAACATCTCTGTGTCCAAGGGCATGTCTCCCCAGCATTGTAATTTCCCTGGAGTCAAGGCCTCTGGGTGTACCTTGAACCCTTGCGCTGAACTAGCACCCTCAGCTAGTACCCTTTTCATTGTCCCTGCCTCTGTCATGGGCTCTTCTGATACAGGCTTTCTGGCACTGATGGCCTTGTCAGTAAGCTCATGTTCCAGCACCCACTTGAGCTCTAATCACTCTCTGCTTACAGATAAGCTCTTAAACAAAAAGTCTAGTTGCTCCTAGTCAGTGGCCTTTGTTGGTTCACCCCAGTATTCCCTCTGGCCGTGGGAATTCCAGCTATAAGCAGAGAGATTCCCTCCATTCCTGGGGTATTATCAACCACAGCAGAGTGCTCCAGTCTTTACTATCAGGACACCTTTTGCCCTTCAGAGCCCATAAAAGAGCATTACAGGCTTTACAAATTTAAACTGTCTTCTAGGTCTTGACTTAATGTCCACGAGATCTGAGCCATGCAGCAGGACATTTGATGGTGTGATCCAAAGGTGTAATTAGTGGTTGCCTCCTCTCCCTTTTCAGAAATATTTCTATTCAGCTTGACAGCTGTTGCATCTAGTTCACCCCTTTGCCTTCATAGATTTCATAGACATTAGAGGCTGGTAGGGACCTCATGAGATCGAGGCTAGCCCCCTTGCCAGAAGCAGGAAGTCTGCAGGGATCAGATGATCCCAGGAAGATAAACATCCAAATGCCTCTTAAATGAGTCCAGTGTAGGTGCTTGCACCACCTCTGGGGGAGTCTGTTCCAGACCTTGCACACTCGGATTGTAAAGAAGTTTTTCCTTATATTAAGTCTGAATCGGCCTTTTAAAAGTTTGTGGCCATTAGACCTAGTTATCCCTTGGGGAGCCCTGGTGAACAACTGTTCTCCCAGATCCTGATGCACCACCCCCCTTATATACTTATAGGCAGCCACCAAGTCCCCCCTGAGCCTTTTCTTCACCAGGCTGAAGTTCCATGTCCCTCAGCCTCTCCTCGTAAGGCTTGCTCTCTTGGCCTTTGATTATACAGGTGGCTCTCCTCTGGACTCTCTCAAGCTTATTCACGTCCCTCCTGAAGTGGGGGCCCAACACTGGGCGCAGTACTCCAGCTGCAGCTTCACTAAGGCTGAGTAAAGCAGGAGGATGACATCCCTGTTTTTGCTCAAGATGCATCAGTGGATGCATGCCAGAGTTTGGTTTGCTCTGCCGGCCACAGCATCACATTGGGGGCTCATGTTCTCAAGACCCCCAAGTCCCTTTCAATTGTGGTGCTAGTGAGCATAGCACCATCAAGCCTGTATGTATGATGCTGTTTTTTTTCTCCCAAGGTAGAGTACCCTGCATTTCTCTATGTTGGATGCCATCAGGTTTAAGTCTGCCCACTTTGCAAGCATGTCCAGGTCAGCCTGTATCCCCAGCCTGTCCTCCAGCATATGACCACCTTCCCCCATAGTTTAGTATCATCCACAAACTTTGCCAGCCCGCATCTGATGCCCGAATCCAGGTCATTAATGAAGATATTAAAAAGTACCAGCCCGAGCACTGAGCCTTGGGAGACTCCACTGGTAGAGAGTCCTCCAGAGCAAAAGGAAGGAGTTTATATCTAAAGGGTTCTACAGCAGCTGTTTTCTGGTTCCAAAGGACAGAGAGGGGTGTTATGTCATCCTAGACCACAGAAAGCAAAACCTGTGCATTTATGAGCTCAAGTTCATGATAGTGCCCTTTGCAGGTATACCATCACTCTGGCAGGAGGACTAGCTCACACCTCTTAACCTACAGGACACTTTTTTATCTATGTATCTTGTGTATCTGTAATCCCTGCTCACAGGTATTATCCATGTTTTACTGTGGGTACGGACCTCTCCAAGGTCCATCAGAGTCCCCTTCTTTCATTTGTTAAAGCCCCAAAGGTCTTTGAGTGGAAGCTATTCAGCTAAGTCTCAGTCTACTCCCATCTGTATGGAATCTTCAGCAGCTCAGGTTTTTGATAGTCTTCAAGTGTTGATTAGGCTCCCTAGGAATGTTAGTCATCCTGCAGAAATCTTCCTTAATTTTCGTGAAGGGAGTCTACCTCAAAGGTGCCCTGATAAGATGCATCAGTGGGGAAGTCTTACCTACCTCACGAACAATTTTTGTTGGCTGTTTGAGCCCATAGCTTCATGTGACTTAGTCCATTTGCCCATGAAAGCAGCTTTCCTGGTGACTCTTTGGTAGACAAGTGAGTGAACTCTAAGCCCCAGTGACAAATTCTCCTTATGCTACCTTATATACAGACAAAGTAACTTTAAGGCAGGGACAGGCAATTTTGGGCGGAGGGCTGCTTACTGAGTTTTGGCAAGCCATCGAGGGCTGCATGACAGGCAGCTAGGGGCAGATAAATATTAATTTTCTAAATTTCTTAGGAAGAATGGATAGAATGGCCTGGTGGGCTGCATCTTGCCCACCCCTGCTTTAAGAACACCACTTAGGTTCATTCAGCCCTGTCTCCTTTTATGGTGTCTCCTAGATTATATCTGTAAGGCAGTGACTTGAGTCTCTGTCCATATGTTTGCCAAATATTATGCAATAATGGAAGCCTCTTGAACTTTAGCATTTAGCAAGGTAGTTCTCCAGTCACTGTTTGCACAAGGGACTTCAAGATCAACAGTCATGTATGTGTGGGCACTGCTTCGGAGTTGTCCACTTGTCAGGAATGTGTGTGTAGATAAATACTTTAAGAAAGGAAGTTACTTACCAGTAACAGGAGTATTTCAAGATTCATGTCCACATGCACATTTGAATCCTGCCCTGTTCTCCTCTTCTTGGACTTGGATACAGTTAAGAGTGCAACTGAGAGGAAGCTAAAGAGAAGAATGTGCACCACCACACTTTATTCCCTCAGCCAGGGACCACAAGGAAAGGTGGGGTTGCAGTGTACTCTACAGGTCCTGCCTTTGAAAAAGTGTTTCCAGGCAAAAGCCAAGGGCATTAGACATACTAACTAGTCAAGAATGTTTACTTTGACAGTAGTTTTTGAAAAACTCTAGTTACTGATAAGTAATTGCCTCTCCTCCTCTCCCCTTCTCTTTTCATTCCTTACACTATCCCAGCATTCCATTTTAAACCTTGCTGTGTTTAATGCAGGGCGGGCAATTATTTGACTTATTTATCATTCCCCCTCAATACTGGCCGAGTGTCTTAAAAGTCACAGCTACTGCCATTGTCACAGGCCAGCTGGGCACAGTGAGTGTATCAGTTTTATCACAGGCCAACTGGGCTGTTTGATTCAGTTTCGGATCGAGGAGGCAAAGCTGGGAGTGGAATAAAGGCAAATTTATTATAGCTTACACACACACAACAGTTAACAGAAAGATAAATGCAATAAACAGATATGGCAGTATAAAAGAGCTAATAGTAAATAATAACAACAGATAATAATAACAGATAGATAGATCAATCTGTCGCAGGCCAACTGGGCACTGCGAGGGTATTAGCCACACTGGGCTGTTCAAAACAACGAATAGACAGACATGGGTTGGCAACTTATCGATAGTCCCTCAATGCCAGGTGCGCGCCAAGTGATTCCAGCGAAGTCAGGCGTCCCTGATGATCAACGCTGTCAGAGGGATTACTGGGGAAGGTCCCTTGCTCAGGATCCAATCCTCACTCTCACCGGGAGTCAGGGGTCCAGGCGTGGGACAGAAATGACCATTCTGTTCCCTCCTTCCTGCTGGTTACCTGATGCATGTGTTTTTTATACCTAATCTTATGTTAATCTGTTGGCCTCAGGGCCACTCGCAATATTGCCCTATAGCTGTTACCCTATGGGATTGAAAGGTGTTAAAATTATCATAAAAGGTTACTACCCAGACTCAGGTTTATCCAATAAGCAAATTATGATGCAGCACCTTTAGGTTTGAAATTGACATCGCTCCGCCTAAATCCCAACCCCTTTTAGGCTTCAGTTGAATATGCTTTCTTGGGATGTGCTTTCCTGGAATGTGTTTGGGCATGCCTAGCAGTTAGATCCAGTTTTTATCGCTAAGGCTGAACCCTGAGCAAAAAACCGTTAAACCAGCTAATCTCACAGCTACAGCTTTGCCTATGGGGCCCAGTCAGTTCCATGAACGGTTAATTTATCATTTTGGTTAAACTTATGACAGACAAGTTGCATTTGCAGTTTACAAACTTACAAGCTTATGTTAACTAATATTACCTATTTAGGCAAAATACCAAATGCCTCCAAGAAGCACATATTATTGCTTATTAATCCCTCTGGTTCTGGCTGTCGCATGCCATGTGCTTCTGTTGTTGACTAGGAACTCTGAAGTTATCTAAGCCTTTTGTGTTAGCTGTTAATCTTGATAATAGCGATGTAAATTCTTTCTTGTGGTTTTGTGAGAAGTACTACACAATTTGTGCGTAAAGTTGAGGGATTTTCCCCTCCCCAACACCCCTGTACCAAATCTGACCATTTTTTCCTTTCCAAGGAAGCTGAGTGATTTTATTTGTTTTTAACTAGAAAGTAATTAATAGTAAATTAAAGATCACTAAATTATAAAGTAATAGATTAATTCCATAGATTACCTAAACAGTCCTTTAAGGAGCTGCATCTGGAAAACTAATAATGAGTATTCTTGTCCAACATATGGTATATCATACTTTGAAATCCAGCCAGTCATAAACTAATTACTACTTCTTCCTTTCTCTTTTATATAGTTTCCAAATAAAACAGTAGCGCACGTTGCCTGCAATATGCTCAGCATGCTGATTCATTATGTACACAGGCTTCAAGCATACCAAGCTGATTTACCTTTGAAAATTATTCAAGTAAGTAATTAAAAAAAATAAAACTATTTGAGCTTTTCTGGCATTTTAATGATGACTTTAGGAAATAATACATTTGAAATCTGAAGTAGCAAATTAGTTACTTCTATGAGAACTTTTGTTTTATAGTTTTCAGTGTGTTAGGTTTTTGCCAGACATTACATTTACCTGTTGACTCAAATATTTTAAGTTTTAAAAAATAACTTTAAAATAGTAATTATAAAGAAAATCATTGTTTATTGTCCACAGATTCTGGTAGCAACTATTACTCACCTTCTGCCTGGGACAGAAGCTGCTTCTTATGAACAGGACAAGAGGGTAATAATTTATTATGCTTTTAATATGCCAGAGTTACTAGTTATGGAGATGTCAAGTCATAGTTGTATAATCAAGACTGCAGTGCATTGCCTAAAACAGAGAATTTCCATGAAGAACTGCCTTCCTTTCAAAGTTACTGCCATTTTTTTCAATAGAAATGGAGCAGTAGGCTTCCTTTAGCTATTCCATCTTTCAGTCATGGTGCTCCTTCCTGCCTCCTGACAGCATAGTCAGTTACCATTCTCCCTGAGGACAATTTGGCTTCATTTGTATTGGGGATAACTGGAAGCAGCATCCATTTTGAAATTAGCATCTTCACTCACAGTAGCCTGTTGCAGGTGGCTTACCCTTGGCCTTTTGGCCCTGATTGAAGGTGGAGCAGCAGGGAGCTGCTCTTAACTTCTTCCATTGGCATAAGGTCCAACTGACTTGACTTTAAGGTCATTTTTACACGTGCTCCAGGGGCACGTGTAATTACAGCGTGTCAGAGCAGACTCGAGTCTGCTGGATTGTGCTGATTAGCACATCTCCAGCAGCCTCTGTGTCATGTGTATCAGTGTCCCTGTGTTTCAAAATGGCAGTGGGGGCACTTGAACTAAAGCTCATCAAGTGATTGAGTCTGCTCTGACGCACTATAATTGCAGCACATTGGAGCAGCCTCTCTGCATGTCTACAGGCACCCTAAAAGACAATCAGGCATAGAGGAGCTCTGTTCCACTGCATCTCAGTTTGTACTATGAGGTATTACCTCCCTCCTTTATGCTGGATATAGGTCAGTAGCTGCCACAGAAGACAACAGAGCACCACCTCCACCAGCTTGCCACTTGCAGATAGTTCCCACGTGGAAGATTCCTCCATGACTTATTGCAGGTCATTTTGTTGCCATTTTATGCGATTCAAATGTCACAAAGTTGCTTTTCTAGATACAGAAATACTGTTCTAATATGTATTTAAAATAGTTTCCTCTAAATATGGATATAAAAGATTATGATGATGACAAAATAAAACTACTGAAATGAAATCTATTTTTTGCATGGTACTTTTGTGGAGCAATATTAATATGTATTGCATGAAATTCATATTACAGTTATATGTTTGATAATAAGATGTTTAAAAAATTAGCTTAAGGAGCTCCTTAGTCAGGGGGGCTCGTCATTTTGTGCTAAAGACTGATGCATTTTTAATTGATTTAAAGAATCTTGTTTCTGGTTATCTGAACTCTTTATTTCTGACTGCCCACTTCTTGCAGTTATGTAAATTATAAATATGTTTAATATGGGTTTAGGTTTTGTAATCAGTGTTTAAAGTGGTTACAGTGTTTTTATTCCATTAATAGTATCAGTGTTTGTGAAACTTTCTGTGTTGTACTATGGTCTTTGTGAAAGTGGCCACTAGAGGGAGTTAAATCTTTCATAGACTGAATAGTTTGCAATATAGAATGGCATTTCGATACCTCTTCAATGGATATCTTTTCAATAGCTGTATAGTGATATTAGCACATTAAAAACAATTTATATCATTTATAAAGTAGCAAAGGAAATTCAGATAGTTCAATTTTGCATGAGCCTTTGTTTTCTTTATATTGACCCTAAGCCTTGTTTATACAGTGTTGGCTGCAATTTTTTATAATTTGTTTCAAATTAACTTTACAAGATCATATAAATATATCCATTTAAGCATAAGATCTACTCTCCCACCTTCCATTGGAGGGGTGAGGAGGAGCAGCAGCAGAGGCCTTAGCACTGAAAGCTGAGACAACATGGAGTTTGGACATGTAAGGTGTGTGTGAATAGGACAGTGCTAGAGATATATAAAATTACCTGAGGCAGCCGCAGATCTAAGCAATATAGCCAAATCATCTCAGCAATATACAACGTCTGTTTAGCAAGAGTAAAGTGCCACGCTGATACGGGTATACTCCTTCTGGGACCCAGGCTAGTATCATTGTATTGTGCTGTATAAACCTACCATCTCATCCAGATATTACAGAGTAATGATGAATACCACTGAGATTAAATTGGTAAATAAGAATAAAGCAGAAAAACAAACTACAGTAGTAAATGCAAAGTAGCTGGCTGCTGTTTTAAGTAATTTGTAACTAAAAATGTGTTTGTTACAGTTGGTAGTATCTTTACTACTCTGTTTGTTGGACTGGATAATGGCCTTGCCTTTAAAGACCTTACTGCAACCTGTTCACACTACAGATGAAAATGATAAGACTGAAAAATCTGTTCTGCATTGTATATTCAAGGTACTTATCCTTTAATATTTTTCATTTTTGTTCCAATGGCAACTTTTATACTTGAAAATGATCATTAGGGGAAGTGAAGGCAGAACCCTTCTCTTGATCTGATTCTAATTCTGTGGCAAGCATTTGGACTGCTTCTGCATTAGTTCTTGTACATTTTACTTAGAACTATTTAGTTTTGAATGTATTTGAAACAATTCACTCTGTAAATAGGAGGCAAAACTAAAGAAATTATTTTAAAAATATTAATATGTGCAAGAAAGTCAATGCTATGAAATTGGGAGATAGTGAAAATAATAAAACATTGTGTTGTCTGTTTCTCACCAAAGTACTGGTAAAGACCAAAAGTATAAAACAGTGTATGCAGGCTAGAAGTAGGCTTTATAGAGTAAGTGTTTTAACTTAACATTGCTTTCTTAATTTGCTTAATGCTGACTTATGCCTAGTGCTCTTAAGTGCATACATTTATTTTGCCCTAAGCAGCTTAACCTTGAAATACAGACACTATATTAATTTTTTACCACATTTTAACTATATTAATTTTTTACCACATTCCTATTTATATACGCTATATAGGCTCCTGTTTTTAGTAACTTTCCCTTCCTACAGGAATTCAGTTTCATGAATATACATTTTCTAAAACTATACCATGTTTACTGAGTTTCATGGCTTGTTGGTAGGTTTTATATTTGTAACAAGTTAATCAACATGCAAATAAAGCTAAATTATCTTATTTATTAGGTAGGAGGGTGTTTTATATATCTTCATCTTGAATTCATGTTTTTGTCTTAGGTTCTGCATGGATGTGTCTATGGAGCTCAATGTTTTGGCACCCCAAAGTATTTTCCTCTAAGTTTTTCTGATTTGGCATCTATGGATTATGATCCTTTTATGCCTTTAGAAAGTCTGAAAGAACCAGAACCACTACATTCTCCAGACTCAGAACGGTCTTCTAAACTTCAGCCAGTCACAGAAGGTATGTCAGGTTGCCTTCATAGATTCTGTTTAAAAGAGAATGTCTCTTGATGTCCAGTACTGAAGTGATTGTCTAAAGCATGAACTTTCAATTATGTTCAATATGATTCTAGAAAATAGGTAGCATTCATCAGTACAGAATAAAATAGCATAATTTTGAGGAATTGCAACTTGTTTAATTGAAATATGTAGATACTCAACAACATATAAATCTGTTTTATATGGATCCTCCTTTTTCCATGTGGCAGAGAACATGCAAACATGCGTAATTCTTTTTTCTTTTTAACTACATAAGGTTACTTCTCTCACACTTTCGTTCCTTTTCTTAAGAATTTTTTTTTTAGAAAGCTTTCTCTAGTTAAAACTGAATGAAATTTATCATGATTTGTTTTGTGTCTATAGGTTTTTAAAATGTAAAACAAAGTTGCATCATAAAAGAAACAATTTTATATAGTCTACTTCAGACCTTTACAGAGTCAGGAATTAAGAACATTTTCTTCTGAAATAATGACAGTAAATAGAAGAAACTGAGATTTAAAGTAATGACATCTTTCTTATCAAATTTATCTAACAAATATCAGATGGCTTAAATGGAAAGAAAATTGAAAAAGATGAGTTTAATATTGATACCAGAAACTCTGTGTAGTGCTATTCTCCCTCCATATTAAGTTGTTCCATTTAGGCTTCCTTAAAGGTATTAGGTACCAGATAAATGCAGAACCTCTTTGTAGCAGCTGTGTGCTAACAGCAGGTGATTTTGTGGTCTGTACTGACTACGTGCTGTTTTTTATGTGGAGAAAATGACTAATCATTGTGCCCTTGTCTAAGGCATGCTTCATCATCCTCAAGTACTTTTTTGGCCAAAGAATTCTAAACATAGAGCTGTCCCCTAATAAGCTCAGTATTGGATTGAACAAGTCTGATTTGAGACCTATTGGCAGGAGGAGCTGTAATTATTAAATTTACTGAAGAATGAAGCAAGGTACTGTAGTTGGCTTTTTGTCAAATGGCTATGGTCTTATTAGCAAAAAGTAATCATCTGCAGGGTCAGAATGAAAGAGGTTTCGAAGGATTCATTCTGTCCTAATTACAGTTTCACCTATACATATTATATAAAGCTAATATTTAAAGCATTTGCCAAAATTAACTTCCACTGCATGTTCTATTACAGTGTAGTGAATTGCAGCAGCTTTTTATGCCTTGCATCTTTTGTATGCTATAATAATCTGTAATTATGGGTTTGCAGCAAATGCTGTGTGGCTTTTTTAATCTGACAACGTGAAAAGACAACCTTGAATAGATTTTTTTTTTCAAATGAATGTCAGTTGCACAAAGCCTTAGCATCGATATCTTCATTTTGCATTTCCACACATGATTGGTTCTTTATAATTCCTCGTTAAATTTCTAAGTAAAAGTAATTTCATATGCTCCTTATATCTCCTTAGGTGAGTTAAAGGAAAAAATATGAAGCTACCTTAAAATCTCAAGGCTTTGTAATTCTAAGTAGGTTATCTTACAAAATTTAATTGGCAAAGTACAGCATAGATTATAATGCCACCCTAGTGCTGCTGCCTTGGCAATTGTAGCTTGTGCTGCTAGGCAAGAACAAAAACAGCACTGCTTACCCATCTCACATCATCTGCTCTCATTGGCATTACTAGAAGTGTGATAGGAGCAAAATTAGTGTATTAGAGGCCATGAGGAGCTAGATCAAGTTGAGGGCCAATTAGCACAGACTAGCAGCAGAGACGCATGTTGATTGGTTGTATATGGAGCAACTGCACACTATTCAAACTACTGGAAAACCAGACCCAGGTCACCATATTGTCTCTACAATATACCACTCCTTCCTTATTTAAAAAAAAAGCTTATCAGAATAAAGGTACCTTCATGTCATCTCATTGGCAAAATGGGTAGGGATGGTAGAGCAGATATATTATTGAGGAACATGCAGAGAAATGAGATGTGTATTAGTGAGGAATGTGTACAGTAAGAAAGATGAAGTCTGCCAAACTTTTTCATAGGATGCAAGTTCATTCATGAGTCTCATGTTTTGGATAAACAATTGTTACACATACAACATTGAAAGGCAGATTGCTCCTTGACAGATGTGATCAGGAGTCTTGGGATATGATTCTTCCTACAGTTAAATAACATTACATGAGCTACATTACATGATTTTAGTACATATCAATATTAATGGATCTTCCCAGAGGCAGTTGCCTGCATCTCAGTAAGAGACTGGATAAAGACTTGTTCCATTCTATAGGAAGCAGGCATAAGGAAGAATTATGCTCCCACTTCTGCTCTAGTCACTTTGCAAGTATTGCATGTTTCAAGGGACATAATATATATAGATTTTTTTATTTAAGGCTATGTCCTTGTTTTCCATTCTATGTATGCATAGTAAAATGATATATCAGATTGTTAGGTTTCACAATAAAAACATTTAATATGAAATGAAAGTTGGTATTGCAGAATTATGTTTAAACACAACTGAAAGTAAAAGCTACAAATAAACAAAAAAAATCAAAGGGATGCTTCTCTCCAGTTAGCAAAGCTTGCAAAAGAACTCTGTAATAGTTTTGAGGGGCCAGTGAATTAGAAAGTCTTAGGCTGCATACAAGCATTTATTTCCAGTGGTGAAAAATTTCCACTGCTAGAAACTATTCCAGAAGAGGAAGTAGTATAGGCATTCAGCCTGCAACTGCCCCCTCTCCTCTTCTCCTTGAACCTTCCTGAGACCAGGGTGATCCTGATCTGGAGAAAGCGTTGGCTGCTTCAGTTCTTCTGTTCCTGGGGAAACTGGAGCAACAGGGCAAGCCTACCTGCCCACTTCTAACTCTGAGTACTCCAGAATGAGAAACAGACAGGAGACTTTCTGTGCCGCAACCTCTGTTTGTCTCCTGGTGCCCAGAAGCCAAGCAGACTCAGCCATGAGGCAAAGCCTCCTTCTCACCCTAGGGACTCTGGCATGTGAAGATCCAATAGGGAGCAACT